ATATCATGATATACGGCATACCAGAAAATGACAATGTAGGCCCCGAATCTTTGAGGAAATATGTCGAAACCGAAATCTTCAGCCATGTACTAAAAGTTAAAGTGAAGACTGTGGAGCGCATTCATCGTGTTGGCAAAAAAATAACTGATCGGGAGCATCCCGTCATACTGCGGTTTTATGACTTTGCTGAAAAGATGGCAATACTGCGCAACTTTTCAAAGTTGAAACGTATGAACATATCGGTTTCCGAGGATTTTTTACTTGCAGTCCGTGAAACACGCAGGAAATTAAGGAAGTCCTAAAAATCTAACCGAGACAGCGGTGATAAGGTTGTGCTTCTTTTCGATAAGCTGAAAATAAACGATACGCTTTACGTTTGGGATAGGCGTGTGGGAAAAAGGATACCTCTGCAGCCGGCACGTTCCCACACTGCTGGCCGTGAAGGCAGTAATTCAAGTACATGAAGCCAAGCAAACATGCCGTCGTTTTTTTTTGTTGTGTTTCAATGCCAGAAGTATAGTGAACAAAACGGACAAACTAGAGGAGATCTTGCTGGCTTTTGCACCTGATGTTTTGGTGATTAGTGAGAAGTGGCTTCATTCAGTATTCATGATTCAGAAATAATTTCAGAAGGCTGTAGCCTACTTCGCAAGGACCGTGACAGCCGGGGAGGTGGAGTGGCTATCGCTATAAAAGATGGTTTAGCGTTCCAGGAAGAACATGGTATACCGCACTACGAGAGTCTGTGGTGCACTGTAACATTTCAAACCACACCTCTACTAATAGGTGGAATATACAGATGGAACTGGGGCACCTGAATCTTATCTCATGGAACTGCACAACTTACTCCTGGCGAAAATACACGATCAGACGAAGGTAGTACTTGTTGGAGACTTTAACTTGGCAAGAATTGACTGAGAAAACCTAACCGCCAGCAATAGAAAGGCAAATAGCTGCGAGCAACCTCTGGATACTATGCTAAGTTTCTCATTATCTGAATGCGTAACGCAAGCGACACGCATTCAAGGGCTTGCTTCCAACATCTTAGATCTTGCTTTATTTCTAGCTCAATAAATGCTCAAGTTATGGTGCAAGATGGAATTTCCGACAATAAAATGGTTTTAATTGAATTTCCCAATCTTAGCCCGGCAAAAAGTGACAATGAAAATTCACATATATTTAATAAATATTATTCCAAAGCTGCCGATGAAAGTATTATTGATTACCTAGAAATACAGTTAGACAATTTTGACGCTGAACCTTCCGATTATGCTGACAAGTTGTGGTTAAAATTTAAGGCAGCAATTTTTCACTGTGATGAAACCTACATTCTTACAAAACGTAAGAGGATAAAACGAAGGACTCCTTGGATAACGTGAGAAATAATTCATAATAAACGGAAACTGAAAAAAATGCGGAAGCGTAAATGCGATCCAGCTGTAATAAGTCAGTGCTACCAAAAGTTTAAAAGCCTGTTGCGCGAAGCGAAGACCTATTTTTTTTCACACACCCTAACCAACTTTATGACAACACAACCGAGGAAATTTTGGCGTTACCCAGCTAAGCCGGACAGTCCAATCCATAAGATGGGAATCAATGGCATCGTTAGTGAGAATACGCACGCAATAGTTAACTCGTTCAATACCTTTTTCCAATCGGTATTCACCCAAGCATGCCCAATCCAAGGGCCGCTTCTGGAACGTGACTCGGCCATGCCGGAAATCGAGATAACCAAACAAGGTATCTTGAACCTGCTTTTACAACTTGTAATAAGAAAGTACCGGGGCCAGATAAAATTCAAAATGCGTTTCTTAGGCGTTATGCAGAACAGCTTGCTCGTTTTTTGTTTAAAATATTTATGCTTTCACTGAAAACTGGTGCGCTTCCGAGAGACTCGCTACGCGCAAAAATAATTCTGATCCATAAAAGTGGTGACAGGTTTCTGGTGGACACGTATCGACCCATATCGCTGACGACCAACTGTTGTAACATACTGGAGCGCATCCTCAACGAAGCCATTGTAAATTACTTAGAATCTAACAATATGCTGTAGCTGAAGCAACATGGATTCCGTAAGGGTCTCTCCACGGTAACGCAACTTGCAGAAATAGCGCATGACTTTGCTGGCGTAATCGACTCCAAACTTCAGGCTGATGCAATTATCATAGACTTTGCGAAAGCCCTTCGACTGGGTGCCTCATTCCAAATTATTAGCCAGGCTTGAATTTCTGGGGGTTAATAGCAAAGTAATTGCGTGGATTTTGGCCTACTTAACTAATCTTCTGTATGGGTCTGCAGAAGACCTACAGTATTGTTAAATAAATAAATAAGAATTGAAACGACCTTCCCTGCTTCATTGTTTCAACCACCTGGCCATCATACTTCTCGACAAATGTTATAAATCACCTGTGCTGCCAAAATTCACGTGTTTAAATTTTTTTTTCTGTGTATGCACCCGTTATGCAATATCTACCAGTGGGGTTCTTAAGGCAATAAAAATGAAAAGAATAAAAAAAATGAAATGAAATGAAAATGAAATACATCTGTATGTCAGGGAGGTACGTTCTCGCTTTTGTTTTTTTTTTTGCTTTTCGCAATTTCTTTAGAACCATTATATTTAGGTGTGCTTCTAAATTTTAGCGTGAAAGGATATCGATATGTTGCCGAGAAAGTTTTTCTTGCTTATGCAGATGACAAAGCCATTTTTGCGTTGACAAAGCAAGCGCTCAAGAAGCAGTCAACGCTGCTTTACGTTTCTGGGAAGTCGCAGGTGCCAGCATTAATTTTGACAAAAGTAGAGGATTCTGCCTAGGCATGTGAAACCAAACTCCTTCGGTCTTCTCAAATATCCATTGGAACGTGACTCTTACGTGGTATCTTGGCGTGCTTCTCGATAACTATCGTAACAGTGGCCCGCACTGTACCACTGGATCCGCGAACTGCGATCTGCCGAAAGGTGGCAACATGGCACGGATGAGAACTTTCCATTTTTCTAGAGCAAAAGCGTGCAATATATTTCTTGTTTCAAAGCCTATTTATGCCCTGCAGGTGTTGCACTGCTCTCGTGTGCCCATTCAAGCCTTTCATTTCCCTATTTTATTTGAAGCTCTTCTTGGGAACCCATGAGAAGACAGAAAACCCTTTTCTTCGACTTGAAAACGGTGGCCTCGGCCTCGTGCCTTTGTTTGTGCGACGGTTGGTGCTGCGAATTTTTTACCTCAAGGATATGTGCAACCCCTTTCTTTTAGTGGTCCTCCGAAACCGTCTGTGTTACCACCTACGCTTTCTTTATGTCACAACAGGCAGTGGTAAGGAATCACCGTTGTGGGGATTTCTAAACGAAATTTTTCATACTGTCAATTCTTTGAATAGTATTGACAGAGTATTTGTACAATATTCACAGAAGAAACTTAACCGCTGCACTTGTCAATAACTTTTTCCTGATCCTGTTTATCGAACGCCATATTCGCTTTTGTCGGGTGACGATGTATTATTTCGTGTAGTAGAAAGAGCATATGATCCACCGCCAAAACATTTTTCCTTAAACTTCCCACTTCTACTCTGGCAGTAAATACGTGGATGAATGAAAAATTAATTTATGTGACCTGGAAAGTATATTGCAGACTCTGCAACCAGCCCTAGACGATAAAGCATTATTTCATTCCTTGTCTTGACGCACGTTACTTTGGGTCCTAAAAAACTATCGCAAAATAACTCTCAATCACACCTCATGTTATTAGGTTCCTAAAAAGAGCCTGACTGATAATACTCCACATGACTTGTTTATGTTGTTGGTACTGCATTACCTATGGAAAAGTCGCATGATTGATAGACACGCCGAACCACCTCGGTCAACGAGATAGGTCTTCCGAGAAGTTGCTGCTCAAGTGCGCAGTGTTATCGAGACTTTTGAACCCGTTCCGGAGTGACTTGCCTTTCTGAACACTTGTGTGTGTTTACCTGACTTCTGATGTAGTATGGCGTGGGTAGCTCACAAATACTGCTGATGATTTCATGCATTAAAGACAAAAAAGCCGGTGTGGGGTTCGAATGCCATCATGTCCTTAGTGTTATTTAATTATTTACAGACATTTTTTATTTTGCGATACAGGTTACGGACACCGGTGGGGGCCGCGGTGGTGGCGACGGTGACGGACGAGTACAGCGCAGCACGTGAACCACGTTATGATCTCATAACAGCTTCCTAAGTAATTGTTTTGGTGACCCTACTCGCTGAGGCAAAATATGACAGAGAAATAACTGAAGCGTTCCTAATGAAAAAACGTGGATATTACAATTGTGTAATATCTTTATCTAATAATATTATAATCTTTATTGTTATAACGAAAGGAGGTGTTATTTTTAAGGAGCACGACGTTTTGGTAGTGTTTCGTTTCTCACATCCCAACCCTTTTGGCCTGTACGTTATCATGCGTGGTGCATGTTCATGTTGACTTTGAATTCAGGTGTATGTTATTTTATATCTTTTTAAACTGTTCTTGGTGGGAGTGTGTGCAGTCGTTAAAACATCGGTGCTTGGTACGCATCTTTGAAAGTTGTGCTTTTCGCCATCTCTTCTTGAGTCCCAGCCCTTTTGCGCAATGTTATACTCCATAATGACAAACCAACCGGCCCAAATAGCAGCCTTCGCGTTTTTTAGGTCTGGGCTCAGCGATTTTCCATGGTGTTGTAGAGCTTTTCCTTATATCGTTTTTGAAAAGCCTCTATATTGTGAAAGGTTTAGTTACTTTATTTCTTAATAATATTATTATTATTATTATTATTATTGTTATTATTATTATTATTATTATTAATATTAATATTATCATCTATACTATTATTAGTTGTAGTAGTAGTAATTTATTATTATAGGATAAATGTTATTATTAATATTAGTGTCCTGATTACTAGGAATATTATTATTTTTACATTCTTCAAAGAGCCTTTTGATAACTTGTAGTAAACGTCTTTTTTTTTCTTGGGGTAGTAAATGTACAGACCTGGCATGCAGCCGCTCCATCCTCTCCGATGACGCACACAGAACCTTTGTCGAGCTTGAAGGACGGTCCCAGTTTAGTTTTTCTCAAGATCTCTTGGCAGGCCATCTTTTCCACGATGCTAACGTTCGCCTTGGTGAGCACAGAAGACAGGGACCCGCCTGCGCAACGGATCCAATGTAAGGGAGAGGTTAGACATGCTTCATACTAGCAAATTCTCAGAATATTTCTTTTGTGTATGCCAACTTACTGCGTCTGGCGATAGTAGCGAAGCTATTTGGCAAACCGTTTCTTAAACAAGCAGCAGGAAGAACCTATCGTAATCACAAACGGGTAAGTTTAACTATTTACCACATGGTGCCCTAAAATGAAGTTACAGTTCAGATTATTATTACAAAAGCCTGGTGGTGAAGACAACACGTTGTACTGGGTGTCGGGAAAGGCAACGGCTGCGGCGAGAAGAGCCAGATGCAATATAAGGCTTATGCCAACGATGACATTCCCGTGTTGTGTCTGCGACAGCCTGTCGTTTAACGTGAACCGCTGTGCAAAAATAACGTAGAAAAAAACCTGGTGCCACTCAGCTAAAGCCTAGAAACCACCTGCATCACCTTGCTAAGGCCTAGAAACAACCCAGAAGCAAGTGTGCTAGTAACCTCTCTTGTTTCACCAGCCAAATTCCAACCAGTTCTGTCTTCAGAATCACTCACTTTCAGTGTTTCAAGGCTTGAGTTACTTCATTTTCGCATATATTTTGTTTTCACTGCCTCCGAATGTCTTGTTCACAGATAATAGGCGACGAGTGGAAGATTTCAAGGTGTAGTGAGATGAAAAAACTCACGCTTGAGGTTCTTTCCCCAGCCGCTGACGACACACTGCTTGCCTACGAATGATCCATCCTCGGCTTTGGCCAGCACCACTCGTCCAATGGTGGGAGTAGTGGCAACCTCTTCTCGAAGCTTGAGCACGGCCACGTTCCGTATCTGCGCCGACCTGAATTTGGGATGCACGATCACCTGGACGCAAAAGAAGCGCACCACACTCTTTAAAAATTGACTGTCAATAAGCGGTGAACAAAGGCATCGATTCGCTAGTTTCAAGCGTATTTTACAATCTTTGAGGCACGTTTTGACTCGCCAATGAAACTATGAAAGTTTTTAAATCATGCTTATACTAACCACAGAAGCTTTGTTAGCATCTAACTGAGCAACTACTAAGCCAACCACTGTAATGATACGGTTGGTAGATAGAGCAGTAATTTACACCAATGTTGTGATAGTGTTGCTACATGCATGTATACATATATTCTAGGGGGCAACGCACATGTGTGCCTGACGAGGAAGACGAAGAGTTGTCTCCGCTCAATCGCTGGTGAACCGGTCACGCCATTACCACTGGTTTTGAATATATCTAATTCCCAGCCTCGTTGTTACGGTGTCTCTTCTTTTCCGTAACATATTTGGTGCAGGAGGAACGTTCCCCGTCTTCACCACGACGCTTCGCAGTGGCCGCACCGTTCAGTCTCCGGCCATGGCTATCAATGACAACAGCCGGTCAGTGTCTCCATCTGTAGCTCCAGCCACTACATACCTAACGATGCCCACCCCCGTGATCCCGGCACATTCTCCGCAAAACCCGGGCTTGACGTCGACTACTGGCTCCGTATGTACGAGCGTGTTAGCCACACACACCGATGGGACCCTACCATGGTGCTCGCCAACGTGATATTTTACTTGGACGGCACCCCACGGGTCTGGTTCGACGCCCATAAGACCGAGCTCACAAGCTGGGATACCTTCAAGGAGCGACTACGCGACATCTTTGGGGACCCGTCCGGTCGCTCAATGGAAGCGCGAAAAGAACTCGCCACTCGTGTGCAGTCCTGAACAGAGTCGTATGTCTCGTACATACTGGACATGCTCGCGTTGTGCCGAAAAGTCTATGAGCAAATGACAGAGAGTGACAAGGTGGGCCACATACTGAAGGGCATCGCGGACAACGCCTTCAATTTGCTCGTCTACACTAACGTCACGACCGTAGATATGACTATCGAAGAATGCCGCCGCTGCGAAATGGCGAAAAACCACCGTGTTCTGCCTCAATTAACGCGGCTACTAAACACGGCTGTTACTTCTACTTGCACCAATCTCGGTGCCGCACCACCCATGCAGGACAGCGTGACACGAATAGTTAGAAGGGAGCTTGAGGCGTTAAGTCCGGCACCATTTCCTCCACGTCCGCTCGTTCATGGCGCCATACAAACCCCTCCGCCGGCCTCCGTCATTCAAGCCGTTGTGAGGCAGGAAATTGCAAAGCCTGGTTTTCCTGTGGCCTGCTCTGTCTCCCGACCCGTCTCCAGACCAATGACAACAATTGCGCCACGCCATGACTTACATTTTATTCCGCGATCCCGCAAACCGGCGGAATGGAGAACTGCAGACGACAAGCCGATCTGCTTCTGCTGCCACCGAGTTGGCCATGTCTCCCGCTACTGCCGCAGCACTTGGACGCCCTCAAACTGCAGCCCATTTTCCTCTACTCGAACATACGAGGACTCCCGTCGGTATTCGCCCAGTCGGCTGTATTCTTCTTCCGACGTCCCTAACAGCCACTCCACTGCTCGTTCACCGTCACCTCAATGCCGCCGTTCCCCATCGCCCAAGCCATGCCGCTATCTGTCGCTGGTCAACTATGGATACTCTCGGACGGCAAACTAGATCATGAAGCTCCGGGAGGTAGTGCCGCATCACTCGCGAATGATCCAAATCCTTTGTTGACGCTCCCCACTAATACGAACTTAATTGAGGTGTATATGGACGGTATTTCTTTGACGGCGTTAGTCTATACTGGAGCTCAAATATCCATAATGAGTGCTCATCTGTGTCGCCTGCTCAAAAAACATCCTCACGCCGGCAGCAACTAAAGCCCTCCGTGTCGCTGATGGTGGAACTGTGGCCATCACTGGAATGTGTACCACTCGCGTTAGTATTGCCGGCCGCCATGTCCCCGTTTTATTTACGGTGCTTGGAAATTGCCCGAACGACCTAATCTTCGGCATGGACTTCCTATCAAGGCAATCTGCCGTGATAGATTGTGCCGCCTGTACTCTCTTCCTAGAACTTCCTCTCCTCTCGGATTCTCACCCTAAACTCAAGAACAGCCTGTGCACCAATGACTTCTTCCGGATACCGCCTAACGCTCTCACATTCATCGAATTGGCAACACCCTTTCCTGTGCTCGACGGTGATTATATCGTGACGCCGATTACTGATGTTCTCCTGGCGCGTGACATTACTGTCCCACACTCCATCGTAAGCATGGCTATAACCGAAAACATTTACTTGTTATGAATCTCAGTTTCATAAAACAAGTGCTCCACCAACGAATTTTGGTCGCCACGCTAAGGCCCTTAATTGAAGACCGCGACACCTGTTTTACGGCAGACGTATGTCCCGAGCACCCACATCATCCGCAGGATGCCACGTGCCTCGATGCGCGCTTAAGCTCCATGATCGCCCCGGACCTCAAACCCGAGAAGTCAACCACGCTATGCCGCCTTCTGGTTTCATATTGCGACATATTCGACATCGACAGCCGTCCACTCGGCCAGACTTCACTCGTCAAGCACCGCATTAACACAGGTGATTCTCATTCCCCTCATCGGCGACCATACCGGGTGTCTGCCACCGAGCGTAAAGTAATTCTACAAGAAGTCACGAAGATGTTATCCAAATGAATTATTGAACCCTCTTCAAGCCCTTGGGCGTCCCCCGTTGTGCTCGTTAACAATAAAGATGGCACGTGGCGCTTCTACGTGAATTATCGTCATCTGAATCGAATCACGAAAAAGGACGTTTACCTTTTACCCCACATCGATGACGCTCTCGATTGTCTTCATGGCGCCCGATAGTTTTCTACAATAGACCTACGTTCCGGTTACTGGCAGATTGCTGTCGACGAAAAAGACCAAGAGAGGACAGCATTTGTAACTCCAGACGGCCTATATCAGTTCAAGGTTATGCCGTTTGGGCTATGCAACGTCCAGCCACGTTCGAGCGCCAGATGGACTCTCTGCTACCAGGGTTGAAATGGTCAACATGTCTTTGTTACCTTGACGATGTCGTTGTATATTCCCCAACATTTGAGACCCACCTTTAGCATGACGATAGTTATAGCGCGAGAACAAAACGACGACACAAAGACAAGAAGGACACGAAAGACACGAGCTCGTGTCTTTCGTGTCCTTCTTGTTTCTGTGTCGTCGTTTTGTTCTCGCGCTATAACTATCGTCATGCAATACCAACTAGCTTATGCTGCCACACTTCTAAGCCACCTTTAGCGTTTGTCAGCTATTTTCGACATATTCCGCACTGCAGGCCTTCGATTGAACTCGTCGAAGTGCCGCTTCAGACGCCAGCAAAAACAGAGTTGGGCCCCTTTTTCGACGCTTCTGGTGTGCAGCCGGACCCCGAGACAATTTGTGCAGTCACCACTTTTCCTGTACCCCAGTCAGCCAAAGACGTCCGGAGTTTTGCAGGACTTTGCTCCTATTTTAGAAAATTTATGAAAGTTTTCGCAACCATCGCTCGACCCCTCACAGAGCTTCTGAAGAAAAACGTCACATTTACGTGGGGTATCGACCAAGCTGCTGCTTTTTCTCACCTGGTCATGCTACTGACGACTCTACCCATATTGGTTCACTTTGACCCATTCGCTCCGACGGAACTTCAAACCGATGCTAGTGGTCACGGAATCGGAGCCGTGTTAGCCCAACGCCGACGGAGACACGACCGAGTTGTCGCCTGCGCTAGCCGCCTCCTCACAGCTGCTGTACGCAGATATTCTATTACGGAGCGTGAATGTCTTGCTCTTGTTTGGACAGTCTCAAAGTTCCACCCATATTTATATGACACTCATTTCTCTGTGATAACTGACCATCATGCGCTATGTTGGCTTACGTCACTGAAGGATTCTACTGGCTGGCTCGGGCGTTTGGCTCTGCGACTCCAAGAGTATACCTACATAGTGACGTACAAGTTCGGACGCCTACATCAGGACGCAGACTGCCTGTCCCGCTACCCGGTCGCTAAGTCGAGCACTATGTCTGACACCTACACCGAGCCTCGCGTCTTTTCCCTTTCGCAAATGAAATGCATCGGTGACGAGCAGCACTATGATGCGTCCTTGTGTGCTATCAATGAGCACCTCGAATCACCATCTTCCAGTCAATCCCATCGCTCATTCATGCTCCACGATGGTGTATTATACCGCCAAAGTTTTTAGCCGGATGGCCCGGCTCTGCTGCTTGTCATTCTGAAACATCTTCGCTCGGAATTTCTACATGAATTTCATGACCTTCCAACTGCTGGTCACCTCGGTGTGTCACGCACTTACGACCGAATACGCCGACGCTTCTACTGGCCAGGGCTTGCACGCTCAGTCAGAAGATACGTTGTGGCTTGTGAGAATTGTCAGTGCCGCAAAACGCCATCGACACTTCCCGCTTGACGCCTTCAACCACTTGATATTCCGTCAAAATCGTTCTTCCGCGTTGGCTTGGACCTACTTGGACCTTTCCCTTTGTCTTCCTTTGGTAACAAGTGGATAGCCGTGCCCACCGACTACGCCACGCGTTATGCCATCACACGAGCTCTCCCAACAAGCTGCGCCACAGATGTCACCGACGTTTTCTTCAAGGACGTGATTTTGCAACACGCAGCCCCACGGCAGCTGCTTACAGACCATGGCCGCACCTTTTTTCGAAGGCCATAGCCGACATCTTGCAGTCTTGTAAAAGGAGACACAAAGTGACTACGTCATACCACCCGAAAACCAATGGACTCACGGAGCGTCTAAATTGAACTCTTACAGACATGCTCGCTAAGTATGTTTCTACCAACCACACCGACTAGGATCTCGCGTTGCCGTACGTCACATTTGCCCACAATTCTTCGCGCCATGACACTGCCAGTTACTCTCCATTTTTTCTGCTGTTTGGCCGAGAACCAACATTGCC